CTTTCAAATTACTACTACTGGTGTAGTAGCTGATGCAGTGCAACAGTATCTAGTTGAAAACAATCTCTTTCCACCTGAGCAGAAAGGAAACCGCCCCAATAGCAGAGGAACAAAAGATCAACTCCTAATAGACAAAATGATCTTGGAAAACTGCAAGAGAAGGAAGACCAACCTGAATGTGGCATGGATTGACTACAAAAAGGCATTTGACTCTCTGCCACATGATTGGATAATAAAGTGCCTAGAAATAACAGGAGTCAGTAGAAACATCAGAAAATTTGTGCAAAGATCGATGGCACAATGGAAGACACAGTTGCAGATCAATGGTGAGAGGCTGGGAGAGGTTAATATCAAGAGAGGAATATTTCAAGGAGATTCATTATCACCATTACTATTTGTTATTGCACTGTTTCCTCTGTCAACAATACTGAATAACTCAGGACATGGCTATCAAACATCAAAAACATCTGCTAGACTATCCCACCTCCTTTACATGGATGATCTGAAGCTGTATGGAAAAACATCATCTGAAATAGAATCGCTGCTCAATACTGTCCGTATATATAGCCAAGATATTGTAATGGAGTTTGGCTTGGACAAATGTGCCACACTTACTATCAAACAAGGAAAAATAATGAAAACTGAAGGAATCAAGATGCCCCACGAAAATAACATTAAGAGTCTGGATGAGGAAGAGTACTACAAATACTTGGGTATCCTTCAAGCTGACAACATCAAGCACACTGAAGTCAAGAAAAAGATTAGAGGTGAATACATCAAGAGAGTGAAGAAGATCTTAAAGTCCAAACTCAATGGAGGAAATACCATAAAGGCAATCAACACCTGGGCAATCCCAGTCATTAGGTACACAGCTGGAATAGTGGACTGGACTCAAGCAGAACTAAAAGCAATGGATAGGCAGACCAGAAAATAATGACAATGAATCATGCCCTTCATCCACGCAGTGACATTGATAGACTTTATCTACCAAGGCAAATAGGTGGGCGTGGAATGCTACAAGTACATCAGATGGTTGAAGAAGAAAAAATGGCTTTGGAAGAATATCTGAAGAACAATGATGAAGATGCACTGAAATTAGTATATCAGGAAGGCTTACTGACTACTGGAGAGACCAAACTGGCCTACAAGAAAGACCAAATGAAGAACAGAATAGAGGCATGGGAAGACAAAGCACTACATGGCCAGTACATTAAAAAATAGCTGGGAAAGCAGATAATAACAAGACCTGGCAATGGCTAAGAGCAGGAAAATTGAAGAAAGAGACCGAGGGACTAATTCTGGCTGCACAAGACCAAGCCTTAAGGACAAATGCATACAAAGTCAAAATTGAGAAGACAGCAACAGACAGTAAGTGCCGCCTATGCAAAGAAGCTGAAGAAACAGTGGACCACTTGGTAAGCTGTTGCAAGAAGATTGCACAGACTGATTACAAGCAGCGGCATGACAAAGTAGCAACAATGGTGCATTGGAAGATCTGCAAAAAATATCATTTGCCTGTAAGCAAAAACTGGTGGGATCATAAAATAGAGAAAGTCATAGAAAATGATAAAATTAAACTGCTCTGGGACTTCAGAATTCAAACAGACAAGCACCTGCAACATAACACCCCAGACTTAACAATTGTCGATAAGAAAGACAAAAAAGTCTGGATAGTGGACGTGGCAGTGCCTGGAGACAGCAGAATAGAAGAGAAAGAACTGGAGAAGATAACAAAATACAAAGACCTACAAATAGAAATAGAAAGACTGTGGCAAAAGCAAGCAAGGGTAGTACCAATAGTCATAGGCTCCTTGGGTGCAATCCCAAAACAACTGGAGCACCACTTGAACACCATTGGCATTGACAAATTCGCTATTAGTCAATTGCAAAAGGTGGCCTTATTAGGAACTGCTTCCATCCTGCGACGATACCTGTAATACCATCAAACATCCACATCTGCCTATCCCAGGTCCTGGATAAGGACTCGATAGGTAGACAAAATGCCAAATCCAGTCTGAACATCTGGCTGACTGTGCGATGATCAATAATAATAATAATAATAATAATAGAGTTGGAAGGGACCTTGGAGGTCTTCTAATCCAACCCCCTACTCAGGCAGGAAACCCTATATCATTTCAGACAAATGGTTTTCCAGTCTCTTCTTAAAAATTTCCAGGGTTGGAGCATTCACAACTTCTGGAGACAGATTGTTCCACAGATTAATTGTTTTAACTGTCAGGAAGTTCCGATGGATCGACTTGTGCATATTTATGACACAGATTTGTAGTTCTGCCGATCACACACACAAGCTGCAATTCCATGACCAAATTTTAGGTTCACATAACCAGGCATATTTACAACCATTTGCAGTGCCTCACAGTCACATGAGGATGTTTTATAATAGTGGTGAATATCTATAGCTCAGCTGTAGGATGAGGGTGAAGATTTGTTCTCTGACTTTGTGGGTTGGTTTCTGAATGTTTCATTACCAGACTAGGGAATATCTTCAGTGGAGTTTACGGGATATTAGTGTCTGTGTTCTGCTGTTTATAAGGGCTTCAGGTGTGAGTGTGTCAGGTGAGGATCTTGTGATGGGTGAGGTGTGAGTCATCAGTGAGAAACTTGTGATGAGTCTCGTGATGGGGAAGTTACGTCAGGTCAGGGTCATTGGGAGGAGAACTGCTGGTGGGGGGAGCAGTGTGCCACTCCACAAGCAATTCCATCAACAGACACACTGACTTACAACCAGCCTACGAACCCCTCAGAATCCAAATCAACTGCACACCAACTAGAGAGGAGCACCGACCCTTAACCAACTTATGCAAGCCCTCTCCTCCCTGACACTGACATCCCCTAAACACTGCTGAAGATGTTATCTAGCCTGGTAACAAAACATTCAGAAACCAAGTCACAAGGTCGGAGAAAGAACATTCACATGACCCAATGTTTTGGCTGCGGAATTTTGGGAGTTGAAATCCATGCTTCTTAAAAATGGACAAGGCTGAGACACACTCATAATCATAACCATAATAACACTCCAGGAAAGACTGACAAGCAAGAATTCCACAAAGAAACATAATTTGTTTTGGGGAATAGTAAATAGAACCAATGGTATAGATGAAGTAATATATTTGTGAAAACAGTAAGGTACTCTAAAAATGACTGTAAAACTGGACTTTTGATATTCTGGCAATATTATCAAGAATTAAAATTGAGAATATTTTGCTATATTGACCACCAAACATGAAGTGTAAATTACTGGATGAATATAAACAATCATAACCCTCCTCCAACCTTTTGAACTCCATTTCAGACTTGGTCCTTAATTCTCTCTCTTGCTTGCTTTGGGAGATAAGTAAACAATCATTTTTGCCATTATCTTAAGGTGTGATTAACAATTCATGTATATTTTATTATGCTGGCTTCTTTAAATAATAATTTGATAATACAATTGCTTGCTTTGTTCTGTAAGAGATCTGGGTTTTAGTAAAAGAAGAAGGAAAGGCAATTTTGGCATCACAGAATTATTTATAACATAATTCCTAGCCACTTAAAATTTTAATAGACATTATGCCTTAGAAAAGATTATTTTTTTAAAAAAGCCTAATATATCTTTAACAGGTAATTCTATCAATCTTTTTTATTAATTTTTTTCCCATCAACATATGTTAATTTTTCCAATCAAACAAGTTGGTGTTTGCTAAGCTAATACATGTTCACTTCCTAATCCTTCATTCTTTTCTCTAACCAAGAATAGAATAAATTCCAAATTTTATAATAGTCCGTATCTTCTTTGTCTTTCAGCCTCATAGCTAGTCTGTCCATCTCTGCACATTCCAATATTTTCGTGATTATTTCTTCTTCTGATGGCAATCCTTCATTCTTCCAGTACTGTGCAAAAATTATTCTTGCTGCTGTAGTAATATGTAGAATTAAATATAATTTCTGCTCATTAATCTTTTCAGACATAATGCTTAGTAAAAAAAGTTCAGGTTTAAAATCCACTTGTTTGCCCAATATTTTTTCTAACCACATAAGTATGCTTTTCCAATAGGCCTTTGCCTTCCCAGATGTCCACCAAATATGATAATACGTGCCTATATTATGTTTACATTTCCAACATCTATCTGACATATTTTTAAACATTTTTGCTAATCTTGCTGGTGGAAGGTGCCATCCATAAAACATTTTATACAAATTTTCTTTGTATGAAGTTGACATTGTTAATTTATAGTTTCTCTCCCATAACATTTGCCATTTTTCTAATTCTATATCATAATCAAAAATTTTTGCCCATCTTATCATTGTTTTTTTCACTTGTTCACTTTCCATATCTAAAATTAACAAAAAATTATACATTTTCTTAATTAATTTCTCATCCGAGGTTAACAAAATCTTATCAAACACATTTTAATCCTTGTAAAATCCATACATTTTTATATCTTTTTCATATCTACTTTGTATCTGCAAATGTGCCCACCAGGACAAATTTATTTCTAAATTTTCCAATTCTTGTTTAGATTTTAATTTCCCATCAATATCTAAAATATCTTTATATGTCCATATTTTTTCAAAGTCTACCAGGTTCAGATGTATAAATGCCTCCATCGTTGATAACCACCCTGGAATTTTTGAATATATTTTAGTTTTAATTTTTCCCCCATACTGTTAACAAGACATTTCTTATAAAATGATTTTGAAAGTATATGAACTCTGTTTTTCCCATACCATAAAAAAGCACGCCACCCCAATTGTAAATCATGTCCCTCTAAATACAATAACCTTTTATTTCTAAGTGTTATCCACTCTTTCACCCATGTTAACACAGATGCTTGATAATACAATGTCCATTCTGGCAACCCAAAGCCTCCATTTTCCTTAGCATCTTGTAATGTTTTCATCTTAATTCTAGCTTTTTTCCCCTGCCAAATAAAGTTCAAAACCAATGAACTTAAGTTTTGAAAGAATTTTCTCTCAAGCTTTATCGGGATCGTTTGAAATAAAAATAAAATCTTCGGCAACACATTCATTTTTACTGTAGCAATTCTTCCTAATATTGACAATTTGAGATTTTTCCATATTTCCAAATCTAGCTTTATTTGCTTCAATTTCCACTTCTCTCATTTCCACCATTGCAATAGCACGTTCTTGATTTGTTTGTTCCAATCCTTCATTCTTTTGCTGTAACATTTCCACCTTTTTGTCAACGTCTTGTGTTTTAAGTTCCACTTCCTGGATTTTCTTTAACAGCTAATTCTAAAGTAGCTGCATTTTAGAATAGTAACTTGTCATTTTTTCTGTGAAACATATATATTTGTCTATGTCTTCTGCTGCATTGGTGAACATTACCATATTGTTCTTTGTAACTGAAGATGCTGGCTTGAATCAAAGAGTACACCTTAATGAATAGAAATAGGTTTATAATTGAGCTGAAGAAGTTGAAAATTTCTCTGAAATGCTTACCCCCAATATGAATCAAATTCCACCATCCAGACCTCTGAAAACCAGCTATTGAGAAACATTCTAGACTGCACTGAGAACAAGAAAAAGGACATTAGTGTTCCTTAAATAGGTTCCTGTTCAGAAGTCATCGAATATAGATTAATAGATTATATTCCATCCAACATGTTCTGTTATCCCAATATTAAAACCATGAAGATGAGATATATTTCTCCATTAGTAAGTGAATATGCTTGCTAGCCAATTATTGTTTAATGCTAATGCAAACATTTATTTGTTTGTTTGTTTCTCAAATCTGTATAATTGCCCATCTCATTAAAAATGAATCTGGGCAGTGCGCAAAGTTAATATGTATTATACTCTTATTTGCCAATGAAGTCTCAGTTCAAGAAACTAAACTCGGTACACTAAACAGAATATGCAGCATAATTACCTTTTTTTCCCCTTTCTGCATAAGGGCAGATTTTGGCAAGAGGTGCTACAAAACAAAACCATAACTTTTGCCACTCCCTAAGATACAATAAAGAAACCAACCTAATTTATTCAGTCATATGGTTCTGGTGCAGTTGCAAATTCAGTCAAATTCATTTAATACCATTTCATTTCAATTTACAATTAATTAAGTCTTGTACTTGTGATTTCAATGGAACTGACTCTTTAGAAGCTGCCTATAGGGAGTAGTGGGGCATCGACAGAAAGTTGGGGGTTTCCTCTTTGCCTTTCATTCTGCCTGCTAACTTCAGAGTCACACATTCTGTCTTTCTTTTCAGAAATACAAGCATTGATTTCTTGACTACAGGGGTGCAGCCTGAGCAAAAGATGTCATTCTACTTGTAGACAATTGCTCCTATGTGAAGGTAGAGTAATCAACTTGGTGCGCAAAAAACAGAGTATGCACCTCCATAAGTCTGCCAAGAAACCGTGTGGCATGAACTTTGGGAAAGATGAGCCAAACCCAACAATCTTGTTTGAGAACCGTCAATGATTATTCAATGAGAATACTAAACCCAAGTGCACATACATTAAGTATGACTTTGTGAGAGATGCTTTAAGAAAAGGGATTTGTTAAACCGATACTGCCCATAAGAAGAAACATTGGCAGATGGACTCACAAAGCCTTTGCCCACAGATTGACAGAGTGTTCTTCAAGAGAGTATGGGAGTTCTGAATCAGTATGTGAGACCACGAAAGGCAGGCAGTAGACTGTAGGTAGTTAGGGATTTGTCCTGAACCTGTCTTTCATTCCGTCTGCTTTTTGTTTATGAGGTTGGTAATCTCAGAATCTTTTTTTCTGCCTTTGTTCCTCTATCTAGATGCATGCATTCTTAAGTATACTGGTAGGATGTAGCTAGTTAAATGCTAGGTCTTTTTGCCTGATGCTGCATTTCCTCAATTTTTTTTTTTTTTTGTTAAAATTAAAAAGCCTGCTCAGGTTAGTTTCCAGCTTTGAGGAATATTTTCCATACAGACAAATTTGCTTCCCTCCAATTTTAAAAAAAGTGGCACATTAGATCATATGAGTAGATAAAAATGCTTCAGTTTGTCAGCACTCATAAGCATCTCATGCCCAGTGCCTGCTTCCTTCTCAAGGCATTTTTGACTTCCCTGTTCCTCAAGCTATAGATCAAAGGATTCAGCATTGGAATTACTATGGTATAGAAGATGGAAGCCCATTTGTCCTGATCCAGAACATAGCTGGAACTTGGGCGCAGATACATAAAGATGGTTGTTCCATAGAAGATGGTTACAGCTGCCAGGTGGGAGGCACATGTTGAGAAAGCCTTTTGTTTCCCCTCAGATGAGTTAATCCGCAAGATTGCTGTCAAGATGAATGCATACGACACCACAATTTCTGTTGAAGTAAATATACTCAGGATTGTTGCAAAAATGAAGAGCACCATTTCATTGATGCTTGTGTCAGTGCAGGAAAGAGATAGCAAAGGGGGAACATCACAGAAAAAATGGTTGATGATATTGGATTCACAAAAAGAGAGCTGAAAGGTAGAAACTGTTTGTGTCACTGCATTCACCAAGCCAATGAGATAAGATCCAGCCACCATCACAGTGCACACTTTGGGAGACATGGTAACCACGTAGAGGAGAGGATTACAGATAGCCACGTACCGGTCATACGCCATTGCTGCCAGGAGGATACACTCAGTACTCGCACAGAAAATGAAGAAATACATCTGTGCAGCACAATCAACATATGAAATGCTTTTCTTGTCTGCCAGTATGTTAGCTAGCATTTTAGGGGCAATAGCTGAAGAATACCCAAAATCTAAGAAAGACAAATGACTGAGGAAGAAATACATAGGGCTCTGGAGCTGAGAGCTTATCCTGATTAATATGATCATCCCAAGATTGCCAGTCAGTGTAATTAAATAGATAATTAGTATCACAATAAAAGAGAGCAGCTCCATATTTGGACTATCCACTAAACCTACAAAAACAAATTCAGTCATCATTGTGTGGTTTTCTTCAACCATTTCTCTTCAGTAATTAAAAACTGTTGAAAGACTAGTATCAGTTTCTTCAATGGGATCAGATCTGTAATATATAAAAAAAAGGATATTTTTATAAGGATCCATATCTTTTTCCAAGGTTCTGCTTAGCTGCCACTGATAACACAATGCATCAGGATGTGTAATGAATCAGAGCAAAGACCTTTGGATTTAATCATAAGGAAAATATTCCTCAACAATCCTTTTTCTGATATGTCCCCATGACACTGTTTTTATCTTATCTCCAACCCATGCCAGAGGCAGCATTAACCAAACCTTAGCTTTTCTGCTCTTAAAACAGTATTTTTCTCTGAAGCAGGAAGCATGATAATTTTACTGCAGATACAATCTGAGACACTTCATTGATCATTCAGTGGGTGGTGAAGCCAAGTAACTCCTAGAAGATGGATCTATACTTGGAGAGTGGAGTTCTTAAGCACCTATTGATCGTGTTAGGTTGATAGACTCGTATCACTTTCCTGTCAGTCCCTCAATACTATTCTCTGAGGACTTTTTGATTGAGGAAGGAGGAGAATGTGGTACTTTCAAACTGCATTCTCCCCAAACTGAACCAGAAGTCTTGGCTTCGAAAGAGGGTCCATCACAGGGGGAAGTCTTAGAAGTGAAACCAGCTTTGTTTCTGCTGTGTCATCCATAGCAATGATCTGCTCTGAATCAGGTTTATTCTAAGCACAGATTTAATGCTCTGTGGCATATAAACTAACTTAGCTTCCAAATAAACCTGGTAATAGCTAACTGGCAGTGGCAATGGGAGACAACTGCTCAGTTGTTAGCCAAACTCATTTCCAATGCACTGACCCAAAACATTTGCAAGCTTAAGTGAATTTTGACAGATGGTTAAATCTGCCATTCAAGTTATCTGTCAGATCTCAATTCCTCTCCAGTACAGCCTCAGCTCTTGTAAGGATTATGACTCATGGTGCCTGGCAGGAAGGATGGGAAACAAAGCTAGGGGAATCCACAAGTCCATTTCCTTAACTATTGGTGCATGAAATGAAGACACCATTATTTAGTGGCAACCCAGTACAGAGGCAGGATTGGGAGCAGTACTGAGGGTTCAAGGTCTAGCAGACAGCATTTTCACTGGGCAGCATGGAAAGACTCTAATAATATTTAAGGACAGAATAAACTTGACATGAGAAGTCATTTAACAGTATCTCAGTCTTAAATCATTTATAGTGGTACATAGCTATACACATTTTCTAAATTTTTATTTCTGCATTATTGTAGCAATAAAGGTAAAAAAAAAACTCTTGCTGAATGAGTTAAGAATGAAGTTAAGAACTTATTTAGCACATCATTCTGTTTTTACAATAGTCAAGAAGATACCCGTGGAATACTCAGGTTATGAGGACAGTAGCATGCAATTGTTAATCAGAAGTATACTATTGGTACTGAATTTTATAGCAGCTGTTGTCCAGCTCTTCTCCAGCAGTCCTGTGCAGACATTCTTTTCTATAGAATTTGGACAACTTCTTTCAGATAGGGGAATTCTTACACTTCATCAGTATACAATCCATTTTGCTTCTGCTTGTAGTGCGGCTTCCTATACACACAGTGATGAAACAGACCTGTGTATAGCAAACTTTTAAAAGCAGATCCATTTAGAAAGAAAGATCCTATGATCTACAGAAAGTGAATCTGGACAGATTGAGATTAGATCATTAAAAGATATGCAAGTATTTTAAAAATAATGCAGTAATAAATACAATTCAGAATGGATTGATCAAGAATAAGTCTTGCCATTATAACACATTAATTTTGAACAGGTAACTTCCTTAGCACGTTGTGTAGTAGATATATCACGATTTCAGCAAAACAGTTGGCAAAATATCCCATGACATTCTGATTTGCAAGCTAGGAATTGAAAAGATTGAAAGCATTTTTAGATACCTGAACATAAGATTATACTGTTTGCTGAAATTATCTGGGGACAGCTCTTCTTGTCCAAACCAGTTAATGGTAGAAATATTCTGAAATGTAACTAAGGTCTTGTATATTCAGTTTGATTCAGTTGTCATGCAGGTATCCTTCATATAGGAAATCCTTATGATCCAAACAACTGGTTCCCTAGTAGTAACACTCAACTAGTTTTTTTTAAAATATTATCAAGGGTAATGTGCTACTTTTACTGTTGCTAAATGAATTTTCAAAGGACCAGGAATAGTTCTCCTAATTGCTTGTGTGTATGCCTGTGTCTGTGATCTATGAATTTTACAGTAAATAGGTCTACAGAGATAATGTCCACAAATGCTTTTAAGACTTTGTTGGCTCTTCATTGATTGATTGTTTGATTATATGTCATAGATCAGTGTCAACTGTCAGTAACCATATAGGTAGACCTTCTCCAGGATGATCTGTCCTGAATTAGATTTAAGGTTTAGGTTTTCCAGTAGTGCATCTAACACCAGTGTAATCAAATTGATCCATTTGTCTCCTTCTATCCTTTCCTTCCATGTTTCCCAATATTCTGGATTGATTTGTTGCACTATCCATGTGTTTGTTTTCTTATCTATCCACAGTATTCTCAGGAATCTTCTCCAAAACCAAAATTCAAAAGTAGAAATATTCCTTATATGCTACTTCTTCAAAATCCAACCTTCGCTTTCATAAAGTGCCACAAAGAAAATTTTAAATGCATGATTCTGATCTTTGTAGGTATAAACACACTGTATCTGAAGAATTTTCCAAGGCCTTCCCTACATAGTGCTAGTTTGTGACATAGAAATATGTCACAGTTGCTGGTTCTTTTACTATTGATGGTAAATCCTAAAAGACAGAAGCTATCAATCAATTCAATATCTTTATTATCAAGTCTAAGTTTTAATGTACCTGATGTCATTAGTTTATTCTTCTTTATATTTAATCTTAGTCTCATTTTTTTCATTGTGCTTCTTAATGTTTATTATTAGAGCTTGCAGACCACCATTTGCAATTTCAGCTATCAAAGCAATCTCATCAACTTAATACAAGTCATTGATGTTCCTATCTTTCAACATTGATGTTGAACAAACAAGTTCATCTTCTTCCAATCAACTGGAAACCTGCTGTTGCATTATAACTAAATTACAGTGAAATGAAATTACATAGGATGATCTCTAACTGTAGTCTTCATGTATTTAATACAGGTTGGCCATGAATTCTACTTGTCAGGGGTCCTATGTGTATTTGATAGCATCTGTATTTGAAGAACTTCCCAAGCTAGGTTTGAAATTGAAAAAACATAAAAAGGGGAAGCAGCCAGTTCTCTTGAAGTTCCCTATCAATAGTTTGTGCCTGGGTAGCACACTGAGTAGATACACAGCTTCCCTTTGAACAGAATTTTCATTATCATGAGATTATCATATTTCAATTTAAATTAGAAGAATTGTTTCCAAATTAATACTTATCTTGCTCTCTCCCAAATTAAATGAACATAAGCATATTTTATGCAAATCTCCATTCTCTCTGATGATGTATAAGTACTTACTTGTACATTATAAACAATATATGCAGATAAACCCTGTGTTTGAGGACCTAGGATAGTAAGCATGTCTCTAAGAAGTAGCTGAATAAGATCCAGCATGTGATTAAGGTTTTAGACTATAATTGGAAGACAATGGTTGTTCACCAAGTGATCCTGAAATGGTCTTTACTTTTAGCCTGATCTATTTCACAAGACTGGTGTTCTGAGGGGCAGATGAAATGGAGTGAGGAATGCTATACATGAGGACAATGCAAAGCTTTGAAGGAGTGCTTTGCACACAAGCTTTATGCAAAACATCCTTCTGCGACTGATCTATAAGACATTCTTTGTAGATGGTTTATTTTAAAAAAATGTGCCCTTCCTGTCTTAACAGCAAGGCAGACATATTGCTGCATTGACCATTTGCACCTGTGAAAGTATTGACCAGTATCAACAATAAATATAGTAAGATAGTCTGCATTTGGACCTTTTTTCTTCTTGATTGGGAATGCTTTATCTTCAAATGTTCTTAGCTGCCAGATGAGTAAGAGGATGCTATAACTATAAAGGACCAGAGAATAACAGAGCAAAGATCTAGTTCACTGAAGGGATGGAGGATAAACACATGATCCTTCACTTTGGGAAGGAGCACACATCCCTGACATTTTCAGAGGTATGAAGCAGGCAGGCTCATCAATGAAGATATTTGTGCTATGGGGTGCACCTTTATCCAGGTGAAGCTGTAACTGTTTGCCAGAATTTTGGTTGAAAGGATACTCAAGGTGACAGTGAGCAACCTTTGAGAAGTACAATATTTCATACCTGGCAAGTGATGTCCAGACTGGATTTTTGCTCTTCAGCAGATTATTGAGAAATGTATCAATTTAGAGAACATTCATGGTGAAGTGGATAGACTTGATTTATGGGACAATTTTCCTAAATATGAAAATAGGAAGTTAGAAGTTGTTAGAAGAAGTTAGATGCTTAGTAGATGATTCAACAGCCCTAAGCATGAAAGCTGGCTGGGTCAATCATTTTCTCTTATAGTCCACAATGTCAAGTTTGGATAACAAACCAGTCAGTCAATTCCTGTCACAACCAATGGATCAATACTTGGTTGATCCAAAAAGAAAGCAGACCATGAACTTGCAGGAAAATGCTAGGAAGAAAAAGAAAGAAAATAGGAGAAAAATGTGTGATGTTCTCTTCCTTGTTTAATGCATTTGTATGTAAATGTATAAGCAATGCTTTTGTGATATATTTGGAATGGGGCCATAAATGTTTGTGAATACCTCTGTATGTGGAGGATGCCCCATTGCTGACTGAAAGATTGAATTATTGCAGCAAACTGCATGATGCAATGAGCAGTATGAAAAAATATTTGTGCACGTTTAGTTGAAAGGAGTGATTGATGGCACATTATGCATATATGGTGAAACCCTCAAGCAAGCAGATGAATTTACGGGAAATAAATTGGAAGCTAGATTTTCTTTTCTACTTCTTATTTCATTTCTTCAAATCATTTAACATACTATTTCTTATTCCTTTTCTGTACTTTGTATAGCACTGCTTATTCCAAAAGAGAATAGAATGATGGGTACATACATACACACAAATAAACACACACACACACACACACACACACACACATTTATTAGCAGATACAACAATTCCCAAGAACTTGGTAGCTGAGAATATCAGGGGATAATATCCCAAATGGCATCAAATAGCATTTAAGCTTTCTCCTTCTACTTGTTGAATCTGAAAGTAAGGAAAGAAACATTTGCAATATTCCTGGTAAGTTATCTATTATTAACAATACAAACTACATTAAAAATAAAAATTTAAGTCCAAGATTGATTTCACATGTTTTACCATCATACAAGACTTTTTATATTGAGTTTGTATAAGAATTTGACACTAAAAGATAATTTAGATGGCTTTGTCTATACTGAGGCTTGCCAAAGTCAGAATCATTTGTAATACTGAAATACTTAGATATTTCTTGGGACACGTACATATTTTTGTGTAATTGCGTGATACATCTTTTGCAGCAAATGTGATTAACAACATACATAACTTTAAGGTAGTGAATACTTGCTTTCCATCTCACCTAAAGGAAAACTTATAGGGCTTATCTTCAGTTTGACATTTAGATGTTCAAATTTTAAGAACATTGTTATAAGAATAAATTTTCTTGCAAATCATTTTAAGATCTAATTTTGCGTTAGAATATTGTAAACTGTACAGGCAGAATCTTACTGAATTACTGTCATGGTTCCCACAGACAGAGACATCTTTCCTATTCATTTTTGGTTGGCAATGATATTCACTGATAAAATCTTTTTTTTTTGTAATATATATTTTTTTAAACATAAATCACTTAATAATTGGTGAATGATGTGTTGTCTGGGTTTACATTTGTAAAAGAATGACTAACAATTGATTTCTATAATCCATAATCCACATAATGGTTTTAGTTGATTTCTTCTTTTCCCAAAATATCCTCTTTTGCAAACATTGAGTTAATACAATTCGTATTGTTTTGATAACAATTCAATATATAATTTTTTCCCAATATTCCTAAAAATAATCACATCAATATATTTTTTTCTATCCAATTATTCTGGTTGCCTTTTCATAGATCCTGTTACAGTCCTTATTTTAGTTAATTTCTCCCACCAAATTCTAGGTATTTCTACTGGTTAAGACTTTCTCAAAAAATAATTACATTTAAAAATTTAACTCTATTTTTCCATATGAACCATCTCACACTTTTACATTTCTTAAGGAATAGATAAAACAATGAAAAAAAGAAAGGAAGGCAAGAGTAAAGAAACATAAAAAATAACATACTACTTAAAATATATATCCCTCCTAAGCTAATATATATTTATTTCCTAAATTTCTTATTTTTTTAATCATAATTAAAAATAAGTTTAATCTTTAAACATTCCATTTAATACATCTAGTCATCTAGTTCTTTAACTCTTATTCAAAACATTTTTATCCATTATAATTTTCTTAAATTCACTCACATTTAAGTATCTAAAACATTTCCTTTATCTAAGTCATTTCAACTTTTTTATATTACTCATATAAAGAAAGAGAACAAAAAAGGGAAAAAAGCATACTATATTATTTAGAGAGTTCATCCCTCTTAGAATGACATATATATTGCAAGACTTTTCTGTTTCTTTAACCATACTCAAACAAATGTTTCTTTTTTAAGTATTCTCTCTGATAAATCCCATCGTCTATTTTCCTGGTTTCCACTTTAGTCTTTTTCCTTTGCCCAATATCTTTCTTAATCAATGTATTTTGCTGAATCAAAAAGTTTTCCTGTATGTTTGTAAATGTTGCTGTAGATATAAAAAGTAAATAAGGTGAAGTGTCTTTGTACAGGGCTTCTGCCTTTCCATGTTTGTTGAAAATCTTTTTCTTTCTCTCTGCTTCTCTTATCATTTTCTTTCTCTCCTGACATCTCTACAGTCCATTTTATCCAATCTGTTTTCTTGTCCTCAGATTTATTTTGTAGTCTTAAGGGATA